TGGTAGTCACGCCATTGAACAATAGGATGGTTGCTTATCCCAAGAAAAGGAAATCAAAGAAAAATAGTCCCATAAAGTGTCTTTTATGACTTGCTGCTGGCAGTTGTAACCTTTATAGACCTAAAGGAAAAAACAAACAAACAAACAAAAAACACCAAAATCATGTGCCTTTATTGAACTTGGATGACAGGACTTGACATTTTTAACAGACCCTTTGTTTGTGAAAATTTTAATATATACACATGCCTCAAATCTTATTTATGAAAAAATATGTATATCTGTAATTCGTTTTTAAGTAAATGACACTAAAAGGACTCAGAACGTTTTCCCAAGGCATAAAGGGCAGCTCCCAAAGGCTGGTGGGCCATCAGCTCAGAGCTGAGGTGTTTCCAGACCCTGAGCTGACAACCGGCTGGTAAGGGAATGGCACAGTGTGGAGCAGAGACACCTGACAACTCAGAGTGGGAGATGATCACCTGCCCCTAAGCAGGTGAGGTGGTCTGGCTCCAAATGCTACTTAGAGGTCCTGCTGCTTCTGTGGAATAATGAGTCAGCTGGCTTTATTTTGTTTCTCATTCCACCGTGTGTTTGAGGGGACATACAGATTCCATCCCCTCTGTGTTTATATGGTGCAAAGAGAAAGGCTGTGTGTGACCCCAGCTTGCGATGTGTGACAACTTGTTGACAGGTTTTATAGTGTGCAATCCCGGGAGGAGGATGCGGGAGATTCCCGTTCATGCCCATCCTCCACCACTTGCTTCAGAATTTTTCTGTATAACAATCTAGAACTTTGAATCCAGGTCAGAGGCTCTAAGCAGACAAGATTGAAAGTTTATATGAACAGTATTCCAATGTTTAACAAATTGGTGAAAGTTCAAATTTCAAATTTTATTCAGGGAACACTTTGGAGAAAGTGGGAGTTCCATTATTTTGCACTAGTCTGTAAACTTGTTACCTTTCCTGCCTCAATAAAGTAACTCAAATTCTTCACGTAAGAATGGTTTCTACTCATCTGAGGACTTCTTTAAAGTACAGCAGAAAAACAAGCAGTGGAACGTATTGTTAAAGATGGTTTGAATCTGTCTTTTAAACTGTAGATTTTATTGGCCTGTCATTTTTTTCCCCCTCAAAAGTCCTTTTTAAAACTTGACTGGCACAAGATTCTTAAATTCTGGGTTTAGATGTGAAATGAAGCCACTCGTGTAATTACATGGATTCACATTGGAGATCCATCAAAGGATACAAGTGACCACAGTAATATTGGTGGAAAACATAAATAAATTAAAGAAAAGATACAGTATTTAGAAATCCTTGGAGTGGTTTTCTGTTCCCTTCCCCTACCTTCACCGACATGGAGGGGTAAATCTTCCAGCCCTTTTTCTCATGTTTTAGAAGTTTTAGCACTTCATAATACTGCTAGATTGCTGGGTGTGAGCTAGAGAGGGGTATAGACGCAAGATACAAGCTCTTAAAGAACCCGGTTTCCTTCTGAAACTCTCCCAAGTCGATCAGTGGAAAGCAGTGGAGACACTATTTGAAAACTACAAGCTTAGGACTCTGTGCCAAAAATCTTAATTTTAAATGAAAATTTTATATAAAAATATGTATTTCATTTGCTGAAAAGAAATCAAAACTGATTTTTACTTTAGTGTTTTATTATAGGAATATGATTCATCAAGAGATGTGATGAGTATTTTTGAGACTGCCGAGTCAATTTTAAGAAGTTAGTTTTTGAAATTTGAGAAGATGGAAATGGAAAATAACCTTAAAAATAAATTTCATGATTTTGCCTGGTATTCTATATTAATACATATTATCAGGAGTCTAACTTTCTGGAACTGGAGAAAAATGAAAAAAAAAATTAACACTTCTTAAACAGGTAGACCAAATTTAGCTTTCACTTATTAAAAGTCAGATAAAGAATTTGGATGATATTGTGTGAATTTCAAAAAAAGGGAACAGTTATGTCATTTCATTTTTATTGTGTAAATGTTTTATTTGTTGAATGATAAAAGCAACGGAAAATAAATTTGACTTCATTTAGCTTTTTCTCTATACTTCCTTTTTTATAACATTATTAGATTCTACACATTATATATGGGAGAGAATATGGAGTTAAAACCCTTTAAATATGATAACGGTCTAAATTTCAGTAATACAAAAAGATCCCCAACACTTGGTAAATGACTCTCTCGGTTCAAATAACACTTGATCCAACCAAAGTTCCAATATAATTATAGAATGTTGATAGGTCTTTGATGTTTAATAAATTTGATTTGAACTGCCTGTAAGTGAAAATTCAGGACTTAATTTTTACATATAATTCTAAGGACCAACTATTCTGAAGTTATGCCATTTAGCAAAAAAAGTAGAAATTAACCCAAAGTCTGATACTTTTAAAAACATATTTTGTGTATATGCCTCCAAATTATCTGGGCTGAAATTCCCATAGCTTTCTGATCCTTTTTGTTTTCAAAATTTTTCTCCATTTTTTCCTAATAAAATTCTATTTTACTACCTGTAAGAATAGTCAATTAGTTGTGGGTCAGTTTTCTTCTTACCTGTATGGTTAGGGAATGAGTTTTTCTGTGTAGAGTTAAAATATGAACTGTAACAGATGATCAAATTTTCAGTATACATAGCATATTATTCTGAATGGTTCAGAACCTACTTCAGGGCCTTTCAGTTTGTCATGGAGGTTTTTACAGGGACCCATTATTCTTGTAGGGTGTAGAAATGTCCCCCCGTGAGATGCCCAGTAGACAGAACGCCAAACATATCAGTGGTGATTTTTTTTTTTACTACTGTAAAAAAAAAATACCTTGAATTAAATATACAAATGTTTTTCTCCTTTTTAAATTGAGTCAAGTACAAGTGGTAACTAAATTTATAATGTAAATGAGAATCTCTGTATCCAGTAATGGTAACTCAGCTTGCCAAAGAGAAATTTTATATATTTATAAAGAGAAAATTTATATATATATACACACGCGCACATGCTCACTGACAAAGAATTTCTCCTAGTTCCTGTGAAATGTACAAAAGTTTAAATATTAAGTCACATGCAAATATTTAATCACTTATGTAGAAAATATTTCACATGAAACCAGGACAGCACCAGAAATTCCAATTTTTATATTTATAAATATATAAACCATTCTCATTTGTACTAAATAGGATCACGATAGCTGGAATTCATGAATGATAAGAATTTAAGCATATTAAAATTTTCAGTTCTTTAAGTTTCAAATACATATAGTATCTCAAACTAGGCTAATACTGTAATTATATTAGAAAAACCTGATTTCAGGAATAAAGGTTATAATAGGTTCATTAATTTTCTAAATGTAAGCAGACTCTTGGCTCAAAGATAACATGTACTCTGAAATATTAAATGCTACCTTCTCAAGCCAACCCAAACACACACACAAAATTAGGTTAATGCCAACCATTGTCTTACCAAACGATATTTAAAGATTATGCAGGTAATTTTAGGTTTTCATAACACAGTTTTGGGTACCTGATCAAAACTGTTTACTGTATTTGCTTCCTTAACTACCTTATATGTAATGTTTTAAAATGTTACTATTTGAGCACCTGATTAATTAGAAACAAACCCTAGTGTGATGACATGCTGAAACTATTTGCTTGCCGTCAGTGTAGAATAAATTTCAAATTACGTACATATTTGGTATTAGCGTGTGGTTGTTAAAGACAAAAGCTTGCTGTTTTTACTAAGATGTTTCAGCAGACTGGAGTTTAGAATTTTCAAGCACTTCAGGACCCTGACTTAAAAATATGTATCAGGATACAATGGCTTCTAAAAATCATAATTTGTTACACTTCATTATAATTTTTAAAGGATTTTATTAAGAAAAATGATTACCATGTAACTGGCAAGTTCTTCAGGAAAAAATTAGGCCTGAAAAAAAAGTTTTTTCAATCCACTGCCTTGTTCCAAGAAGAGCTGCATTATATATGCATTATCCTGGCTAGATCCGTGGTAACCTATTTTAAGATTTTATAAAGACCTAGACCAGACACTTGGATATCACCCACAGCCCCTCCTGAAATCTCCATGAAGGCCACACCCTGACAGTCACCAGGCCTTCCAGATGCTGCCCCTACCTGCTTCCCTCAGTGCCCTGACCACCTCTCCCTCAGGCTCCTCTGGATTACTTCCCCAAAGTCCAGATCTTTGTAAACCACACAGGTCTGTGGCGCACTCTCCAGCACTAACCCTTCAGTGGTGCCCCGTCATCTGTCAGAGCACAAGCTCACCCTGAGCATGGAAGACGAGCCCTTTCAAATCTAAGGCCGTGATTCTCCATGCTGGTGTGCATGAAGAACACAGGGCACTTTAGAGCCCGGTTCCCTGGGGCCAGGACATGCTCTGGGCATCAAGTGACTCAAATATGCAGCCGGGGTAGAGAACCACTGATTCTAGTCCTTTTCCTTGTCTCTAGGCATAATTCTTGTCGGACCTTTCTGCTCCAGGAGGCCAGAGGCCTGGGATTTGGAGCGCTGCACATGCTGCTCTCATAGCCAGGCATACTCTACTCCCTTTCTGGATTCTGCACATCCCTGCTGACATGAAGGCAGAGGTATACCTTCCCTCCATGGAAAAGGCCAAGCCTTTTGGAAAACTGAGCCCTGAGGATGTTTCACAGTTGTGCTTGGCATAATGTTGAAAGGGTGCCATTTCCTTTATAAACTTTTCAGACAAGTTCAATGCCTCTAAAGGTTCCATACAATATTAAGTTGAACCATACGACACCGCAGATATTTTGATTTACAAAAATAGCAATTTCATGTGGCTCAATCTAGTATTTTGAAAAGGATTACAGAAGTTACTCAAGAGAGTTTAAAAACAACACAATCTTTAATTGAGCAATTTACTTCCCCTGAGATCACATTCTATAAAGTATACAAATACTGTCCCTTAGAGCAGTGGTTTTCAAATTTTACTGTGCATACGAAGCAACTGGGTAACTTGTGAAAATGGTCCCCAGCATGTCTGAGGTGGAATGTGAGCATCTATCTGTTCCAGGAGATGCTGATGCTGCTGGTCCCCCAGGACACACCCTGAATAGCAGCAATGCATCGGACTATTTAAGAAGGGCTGTAAAAAAATACTTATCTGAAAAGAAAAAAATCACATGAACAAAATACTAAAATCACCGGTAGAGAATAACAAAAGCATTTCTCCACTCTCTATACAAAGATCAACCTTTGGTTTTCAGTATTTCCATGAACCTAATTGTAAAGACTTATCAAGTTAATGGGCTTTTATTTAACTTCAAATATAAAGTGCTATGATTTCAAAAATAAAAACATGGCTATACTTAAGAGCTTCTAAGAAACCTGTCCACTTCTGAGGGTGAAATCTTTGGAGAAATTCTTCTGAAATTCTACTTCATTGCAAAAACCCTTGAATATTTATTGTCCTTCTGCGTCTAACATCCATGACGAGGTGGTGTGCTCCTTGAGGACAAGGCCATTTTATACCATATTTCGGTATCTTCGAAAGCACTGAGCACTTGTCTAAAAGTTCAGAATTACAACACTTAATAAAAAGTCTGTATTTTTCTTGCAGTTAGGTAGGAGAAAGGACAATCTTCGAATTTCCAATAGATTATCATATTAAAAATTTTGAGTTTACCCCATATTGAACTTCTAAAACTACAGAAATCTTTTTTCTGCTTTCCATACAGAAAGTATTAAAGTGATGGCAAATTAGTGTGTTACAATCATAAGTGCGTGAGGTTGAAAGCAGGAGTAATATTGTGGTGGACTAATTAAGAGGACTGAAAGGAATGTGCACTTTGGGAGTCTGTGAAAAAAAGAGAGGGAGCTCCTAAATAATTTTTATTGATAACTGATGTTGCCCATAGTCAGGAAGTGTCCTGACAATGCCTCCCTGCGAGCCTGTACCCACCCTGACTCTGGGCCCCGCAGGTTTAATTTTGGAAGGGCAGGAAAAGGCACATAGATACATGTCCCAGTAGACCAACAAAGCTCTTCTGTTCAGTCTGATATTAAAATGAAGGAAATAATTTTCAACATAAGACATTGAAGAATTAAGTCCCTCCAGTAAGGTATGACACCCTATTCTCTCACTGTGCATAAAACGATATGGGGTATAACACTGAGAGCTGGGGAAATTGGCGCTACACAGTTTTAACAAACAGTCCAAACTGAGTTAGTTATTCATAAAAACAACCTAGTCTCTAGGTTTTACTCTAATAGAAACCAGTATGTCTCAGAATGATCCTTTTTCTACCTCCATGAGAAACTGCTGCAAGTGGTCCTTATTAAATACAGTAGATGTCTGGGCCTCACCTAGGCCCACAGAAATAGTCTGCAGGGGTGAGGCTGGGCACCTGATTTCTAACCAGGTCCCCAGGTAGAAGCAGCATTCACAACCTTGATATGATGTAAGTAACAGGCTGTTTTTGATAGAGCAGCTTCTTCATTGTGTAGGATTCTAATAGTAGAAAAGCTCCCTCTTAGCTTATACAATTGAACTGCAATGAAATCTGTGTCCCATCTGATTAACGCTTTCCCTATTTTTATTTAGTGAGGAAACCTTGGGTCTCTTCCCTTCTTGCACATATCACGTTCTGGTATCACCACTATTCCTGTAGCTGGGATCTTTCTCCCCTTCATTTAACCTCACTAGCCCATAAGGAGAGAGACTTTTAGGCAAATGTTTTAATACCTTTCCCTTTGGCAAGGCTCTGAATTCTGATCAGCCTAAATGCAGAGCTGAGTGCTGACCTGGATGCCTGCTTACACCACCCACCCTTTGCAAAGCCCGCTTCTTGTCACGGCCTCTGTCCCTTAATCACATACCTTGGATTTTGCTTCTTCCTGTTGTACAAACCCATTCTATTCACTTTTTAATTGATCACTCCTATCACCACCATAGTGAGGTTTGTTTAGTGACATGATGAAAATAGCCACCAAGGCTAATGCAGCCCCTAGACTGGGGGGGCCGCAAGGGCTGACCTCCTGGGCAACTCCCGAGAGGAGGGGCGCGATGACCCGGCCCACCGCTGTCACTGACTGCCCCACGCCTATAATGGTGCCGCTGGCCTGGGCTCCACCCACGGTCAGCTGGAGGTCCGTGATGCAAGTCCTGCCGATGGCCGTGGAGAAGGACAGGAGCGTGGAGGACAGGATGACGGCCGCCATGGTACGGGCGGTGGAGAAGAGCAGGAGCAGCAGGAAGGTGAGTGTGCTGGAGTGCAGCAGGACCCTGTGGGAGTTGTGCCCATACAGCCGCATGAGGGGCCCCAGGGCTAAGCCGGCCAGGGCCCCCAGGGCGCTGCTGTAACTGATGAGGTAGCCTGCGGTCTTGGGGCTCACCTTGAAGCGTTCCTCCAGGGCCAAGACAAAATTACTGTAGTACAGCATGACTGCCACGGCCATCAGCAAGCGCACCAGAAATATTTCCCACATTTCAGAAAATATCAGGCCCTTCATGACCTGCAGGGTTGACAGGACCGCCATCCGGGGCGGCCTGGCGGTCCTCCCACTCGTGGGGCCCGCTTCCTGCACTTCGTAGTCTGTCTTTCCCAAAAGTCCATGGTTCTTACTCAATCGCAGGCCATTCTTTGTATTGCTGACTTTTATTTCACTCCATGGAAACAGCCAAACAAGACCTGTTAAAATGGCACAGTCTGGTAAAGGCACGGGAGGAAACCTGGTCACACCAAACAGTCACATGCTTGAAACCATTCTATCTAGATTCACAATGATTCATCAGACCTCTCCTCCTGGCTGAGGTTACAGGTTAAACTGGCAGACAATCATAAGGTATCTGATGAGGACTGAGATTAAGCTCATGAACTTTGCTTCCCAAGTCTGGTATCCCAACCTAACATGGAATTATCACTCAACCTGTTGTCCTAAATGTAAAGATTTGAAAAGCTGCAAAAAAGTAGAATATCATTATATTTTTAAAAAATTGAACAGCATGAATCCTCCCATTTATAAAGCTGTTAATCGAAGGGTTGGTTGTGCACCAGTCTCTGAGCAAAGAAGTTCATCTAAGGAACTCATAGCCCAGTCGGCCTTCTTTCATTCATTGGATATCATTGAACACTGGCTATCTGTCTGTGTTCCAGGCAAAGGTGACAGCAGTGAGCAAATGTGAACCCTTGGGGAATTTACTTTCTAATTATGTGTGTTGGGGGAAGAGGAACAGCAAGAAAACACATTGACAATATAATTTCTGAAGTGCTATGAAGAAATTCAGATATTTTAGACAGAATGATCCGAGGAGGACTCTCTAAGGAAGCAAATATTGGAGACTTGAATGATAAGAAGAAGAGCCTATACAGATACGTGGGAAGAATGCTGCAGGTGGAAGGAGGAACAAATTACAAGGCCATCCTGTGGGAATAAGGCTGGCATGTGAGGTCAACCAGGAAGCCACTGTGGCCAGGGGTGTGGGGCCAACATCCTCCACCCTCTGCCACCAAGGCTGAGAGACACATGTGCTTTAGCATGCTGGGAGCCCACTGGGGAGGTCTGCAGCAGGGATGATGTGGGTTTTCACTCCTGAATAATGAATCTGCCTCATCTACGAAAAACAAATTGTAAGGGGATAAAAGTAGGTAGGCTGGTTAGCACGAAGGCATAAACCAGACAATCTTCTCGTGATTAAGTGGGAACTTACCAGCATTGAGAATGAAGACAGAAAAACAGATGAAGCACGTTATATAAAATCCATCGTCTAGCTCAGTAAGATATCCACCAACCATGGGGCCCAAGATGAAGCCCACACTAGATGCTGTGTTGAACTGTCCCATCACTAATGGCCGCTCCTTTTCTGCAACCAGATCAGAAAGCAGAGCCCTTGAAATGGACAGTGTGTGTTTGAAAATACCTGTTAGGGGACAAGAGACATGCTCTGTAACATTTTCCAGGTCAAAAGTACCTCGCTGGTGATCCTGCCCTTCACCTCTATCCCTCACGGAGATCTGGCCTCCACTATCTTTACACCTCTGAGGCCTGCGGGTGCCATCCCACTGTGACGACTTCTGGCTAGTCACCTCATCTCTGGTAACCAAGCTCCCAAATCCTCAGCTTGCCTGTTTCCCATCATGAGATCCCAGGGTCTCATCTTCTCTGTTATCCTGGCACAATTCATGGTGGTTTCTATATAGAGATTTATCATTCTTTATTCATAAATTTGGTGAATAAACATTTTCTGCATGCCCACTATTTGTTCAGCATAGACCATGACCCTGAGGGTAATGTAAGGAACAAAGAGGAACACCAAAAAAAAAAAAAAAAAGGCAAATATCCCTGTCTTCACAGAGCCTGCACATCTATATGAAGGTGGTCAAGTGTTATGGAGGGAAATAGAACAGGGAAGAAGGACAGAAAGACAGGGAGTAAAAATATAAAAACATGATGACAGACATTTAACCCAGCAGACCCCAACCTTTTTGGTACCAGGGGCAGGTGCTCTTATGAGAATCTAATGCCTGATGACTTGAGGTGGAACTGAGTGATGCTAGCGCTGGGGAGCGGTTGCAAATACAGATGAAGCTTTGCTTGCTCATCAGCTACTCCCCCACTGCCATGCAGCCCAGCTCCTAAAAGGCCACAGACCAGTACCAGTCTGTGGCCTGGGGATTAGGAACCCCTGATCTAACCAATACCAACTCATGTTCTACTAGCAGGAGGCTTGCAAATTTGTCGACTAAACAAACTAAAAGCTGTGAAAGGACTTAATAAGAGATTAAAGAGTATGTAACTTTATATTCTTCATACTTCTGCTGATAGATTTGACTGTATACACCCACACACCTCATAATCACACTCACAAACAGACTGGCAGAATCTGATGACACAGGTTGCCCACTATTTTGATCAACAAATAGTAGGTCCTGCTAATACTGCTGACAAGTCTGGATAAATGATCCTAAGTGTAAAGGGATACAATGGTTTCCAGGGAGTTCCTCGAAGATTGGTTAGATTTTGTGTGTAGTGGTGGGGCTTGTTACGGTGACTGATCACATTCACAGCAAAGACCTTCTGAAACCATTTGTCAACAAGAAGGCACAGCATAGGTTTTGGAGGGTGAACTCAAAAGGCTTGTCCTCCAGGGTAGCAGGGTCTGTGCTCTCATCAGTAAGATGAGAAAGAAACATGAAAATTCCAGGGCCCTAATCACGAAGAAAGGCAAAAAAGGAATAAAGAGCTTCCACAGTAATTACCCACCCACCACTCACAGGTGATATTTCAAAGAACGGACAAAATATTTCGATGAATGGACAAAATGAAAGTTATTTCAAAAATGGTAGAAACATTCAAGATCAGTCAGGAAACAGAAAACTAACCCTTGAGCCATGACACTGCAATCCTAGTGTCTCCTGCCCCTCCCCCACTCCCACCAAAGCAACAGCTAGACTTGCAGAAGGCTACAGGAAAGCTACAGTGGCCAATCTCAATTTGAAGTCAGGAAGCCCAACATGAAAACTATAAACTTGCTGAGGGACAGGGAGTAAGCATGGTACTGGTTAAAGACACTGAGCACATACTTCCTGAGAGGACAGAGGTCAGAGGGAAGGAGATGGGACCTGTGGCAGTGGTGGCAGAGTTGTGCACAGTGACCGACACAGAGGGCTCCGGGCTCTGTCGCGTCCAGGGTTTGTAGATATGGACAAGTCAGCAGAGCCTGACTGATGCTAAGTGCTCAATTAGGGGCAGCAGCTGGTGTGACACTTGTAACTGATATTACCAGTGTGCCTTCTTTACATAAGCTGTAATCAAAGAGGCACTCTTTGGGACACAAGTGGGACAGGCTCCCTCTGTACGTGGAAGTAATTTATTTTGAAGGAAGGCACACAGGCAGGGACAAGAACTCACCCACGGGGATTCTAGCGAGGGCAAATAGGAACACATTGGTGGAGGCTCCAAGGATAAGGTAACCCAGGGCACTGAACAGAATGCAGACCAGCAGCGAGGCCCGCCTCCCGATCACATCGCTCCAGCAACCCTGCGGAAGCAAGAAACGCAACCGTTCTGTGATTCATGGTAAACTCATCACCACGAAAATGACCCCAAACGAGCCCACTGGAAAATGTCAGGGGTTCTGGCTAAGGTCCTCAGATGCTCAACTCTGTTCTGCCAGTTGTCAGAGTAAGTTATTTTCTCTGCTCTTCCACAAGCTGAGTGGGAAAACACAACATTGTTTTATCAGAAAAAAAAAAAAAAAGCCTTAAGATATCAAAGAAAGCATGATGATTTAGTAGCTGAGAATGGCTAGAGAAATGGTGAAGTATAATTTAGAAAGCCTTTGTTTTGTCATTATCATTACTTCATTCATCTCAACTCTGATGATTTAGTAGCTGAGAATGGGTGGAGAAATGGTGAAGTATAATTTAGAAAGCCTTGGTTTTGTCATTATCATTACTTCATTCATCTCAACTCCTCAGTAACCATGTTCAATTCAGTTTAGAAATTTAGAAAATGCTGAAAAACAAAATTAATATATAAAAATACTTCACAATCCTCAAATTTACAAACGATATATTTTTGACAAAATACAATACACTATATTTTGTAACTTGCTTTTCTACTTAATAATACATCTCGAACATTCCGTTATTAAAATTTTGCCTTTATCTTTTTTCTTTTTTTTGCTTAAGAGTGTCTGTTCTCTATCATCATGACAACCATAGATTTTATCATTAATTCTATCAATCCAACAGATTAAAATGATTTCTCATTGTTCCACTGTGAATTTTTGATTACTATTGAGATGCAACTTTTCCCACATTATATTTTTTAGTTTTATTGATGTAATTGACATATAGCTCTGTAAAAGTCAGCATAATGACTTGACTTACATATATTGCAAAGTGATAAGTTAACATCTGTCATCTCATAAAAACAGCAAAACATCTTTTTCTTTGTGTTGAGAACATTTAGGATTTACTCTTAATAACTCTCAAATATACAATATAGTGTTTGCTATAGTTGCCACATTGTACGTGACATCCCAGCACTTATTTATAACTGGAAGTTTGTACCTTCTGACCACCTTCACCCAATTCATTCACCCCTGCTTCTAGTAACCACAAATTTGATCTCTTGTTCTCAAAAAACTCATTCAAAATATACTCATTCAAAAATAAATTTTTTAGACTCCACATATAAGTGAGATCGTACAGTATTTGTCTTCTTTTGTCTGATTTATCTCACTTAGCATAATGCCCTCAAGGTCTATCCATGTTGTCACAAATGGTAGGATTTCCTTCTTTTAATGACCAAATAGTATTCCACTGTGTGTATATATATATGTATATCCTTTATCTATTCATCTATTGATGGACACTTAGGTTGTTTCCATGTCTTGGCTATTGTAAATAATGCTTCAATGAACATGTGCAGGTATCTTTTTGAACTAGTGATTTCACTTCCTTTGAATATATACCCAGAAATGGGATCGCTGTAATTCTATTTTTAATTTTTTGAGGAACCTCCACACTGTTTTCCGTAATAGCTGCACCAATTTACATTTCTACCAGAAGCACACAAGGGTTCCCTTTTCTCAACATCCTTGCCAGCATTTATTTCTTGTCTTTTTGATGATAGCCATTCTAACAGGTATGAGGTGATATCTCACTGTGGTTTTAATTTGCACTTATCTGATGATTAGTGGTGTTGAGTATTTTTTCACATACCTGTTTGTGAATATCTTCTTTGGAATATCTTCTTTGGAAAAATGTCTATTCGTGTCCTTTGTCAATTTTTTAATTTAATTGGATTATTTCTTTTTCTGCTATTCGGTTGTGTGAGTTCTTTTCTTTGGAAAAATGTCTATTCGTGTTCTTTGGAAAAATGTCTATTCATGTCCTTTGTCAATTTTTTAATTTAATTGGATTATTTCTTTTTCTGCTATTCGGTTGTATGAGTTCTTTTCAGCAGTCCCAGCAAACCGCCTAGCCAAAACAAACCTCCCTTGCAGACTGAAAGTTCTGGCTTTCAAAGATGCAACCAGAGGTCACCAGTGAGGCTTCTGAGAAAGCTCTTTAGAGGTGGGGAAGGGTACTGGCAAACAGTACCCTTCTCCTCTTCTCCCTACCTGCTCAGAACACTCCCATGATGCCGGAGGTTGACAGATGTCTAGCTGAGGATGGCTGCGAAGGACACCAGGAGCCTGGGTGTCCGGGAGCACCTCAGACCCCTGGGCAGCTTTGGTGGCCACTGCACTGTTTATCTTTGCATTTGGGCAGTGCTCTGTCCACACAGATGGACACAGGCCCAACTGATGAGCCCGGTTTGACCACGGCATCTCCATGTTGACCTGCTTTATATATTGAGGTTCTGGATAAGTCTTTGTTTAAAAAAACTTTAATTGTCTTAAAATAAAAATCACTAAACACTGTAACAGTAATGGAGCACTGTCTGAGAAGGGTCAGGCCAGGCTCTCCAGTGCTGTGCTCCTGGGCTGGCTAGAGGTGGTCCATATGACATCCTGTGTCCTTCCTTCTCAGTGATGTGCAATGCCTTTACCAACTTCACGAATGAACCATATCATTCAAGCCTGCCTCTCTGCCTTGCCAAAAGCCAACTATCCCTGTTTGTGCCCTTCCCTCATTTTTATTGATGTGTTTAGCTTCTTCTTAAGGACCCAAAAGATATCTTTACCTAAGAATATAAACTGTCATAAAATTTCTTTATAAAATAATTGAGGGTAATTCTTCCAAATTACTGTTAGCTTTTTACAAATACCACCAATCTTTTTCCCCCAATTTTCATTTCAATAGATTTTAAAAATTCTC